TACATAATTCTGTTTATCGGTTTTTGATTTCGACGAACGGTGTTGGCATTGTTACTAAAAATAGAAATTTCTATGAAATTCTTTCAAAATGCTACTCCTCCTACAGTTTTGGTATGATTTCAATATAACCTGGCATATATTAAGAAGACTACACTAATATAAATAATTCTGTGTATCAGTTTTTGATTTCGACGAAGTGTTGGCGTTGTTACTAAAAATAGAAATTTCTGTGAAATTCTTTCAAAATGCTACTCCTCCTACAGTTTTGGTATGATTTTAATATAACTTGGCACACAAGTAGACTACAATAAGATACATCATTCATAATTCTCTGTATTGTTTTTTTTATTTCGACGAACGGTGTTGGCCTTGTTACTAAAAATAGAAATTTCTGTGAAATTCTTTCCAAATGCTACTCCTCCTACAGTTTTGGTATGATTTCAATATAACTTGGCATATATTAAGTAGACTACACTAATATAAATAATTCTGTGTATCAGTTTTTGATTTCGACGAACAATGTTGGCGTTGTTACTAAAAATAGAAATTTATGTGAAATTCTCTCAAAATGCTACTCCTCCTGCAAATTTAGTCTGATTTCAATATAATTTAGCACACAAGTAGACTACACAAGGATACATAATTCTGTGTATCGGATTTTGATTTTGATGAAAGGTGTTGCCATGGTTACTAAAAAAAGTAATTGAGTTGCGTCAAGCGAAAAGGGACCTTCGTGACATAAACGTAATTACGTCACAATAGCTCTTCAAAGACGTGACGTCGCGCCGGTGCGTTAGTACATAGAAAAGTTTCATACGATAAAGCAAAACAAAAATTTATTAGCGTAATACATATATTAAAAAATAGAAACGCCTGTAAATATCCGGGGAAAAAAATATTGTACAATGTCGTCAATTTATAGATTTACTGGTTATTTTTCCAACGCCAATCCACTATATTTTGAAGTTAAATGAAATATGAAAAATATATTAAATTTTTTACCCAAATAAGATATCTTTTCAATATATTAGAAAAATATAGTTTCGTAAATATAACAAAAAAAGCTTTGGTTTTCATTAAATCAAAAAGTTTTAATCAGAATTTCCTCTGTCATAGTTTGATTCATAAGTACAATATTTTGTACAACTACATTTTGATACACATTTTTAGATGAATATTGAAAAAATTTAATGTAATAAAATATTTATACATGTTTTTCAGAGATATATTGTACTACATCTGTTGCAATGTTATATTTAAAAAAAAAAGTTATGCACATAAATATGAAATTAATTGATCTGTACATGCATATATTTCTATGGTTTCTTTTTGTGACAATTTTAATAACACAAGAAAATGCATGGAATAAAAAAAAATTAACATGTTATTATAACCGTATCACATCTTACAAAATCATGGATTTTTAAAAATGTAAAATATCTTACAACAAATATCTAATCATTATAACAGGCTATAACTTATAAAATTTGAGGCAAATTAATTAACTTAAATAATGAGCTTTGCACAATTACATCATCATTTTATTGCCTCTTTGCGATGTTATATCACACAACGTTAGGCAAGTCTCAATCACTAACTACATTGTACATGTACATGTCGGTATAAAATACATGATGTATAAAATATAATTGTGAGATGAATATGCATTTGGTAATTTAACTGTTATTTTATATAATAAAAGCATACATCAAAAATACATTTTACTGATGAGAACAAGCCGTACTTTTTAACATTGTTGCATACAACAACATAATCATGAACATCGATCTATTCTGTCAATTAATTTCATTTTTGAAGATAGCGGATAACCTTTGAAGACAATGACTTGCGCTTTTTCTGCAAAGCATATCGACTTGAGGAATTTTTTTTCCTAATGTGGTTCTTGTCACACTTTTTTTTAATATTTGAATTCACACTCTTTTTCAAGCGAGAAATGGTGGTGGTGTCTCACTGTCATCATTGGCTGTAATAGTGGACACCTTTACTCCTTTGTTCAGTTTTTTCTCCACCTTACTAATGACCATACTTGGTTCTATATTTTTAAACTTCCTAAAAAATAAAAAAAAAAATCAATTTTTTAAAACTGATTTTTAAAATTTAACAAAATTAATAACTTTCTTAAGAAGATAAATTTTACATTTGAAAAATAAGTTCAAATATATGTACATGTGCATATCTTTCAAAAATTGCTATTTTAGCAGGTCAGAAAGTGTTCATTCAGTCAATTCTAAAAGATTTATTAATACCATTTTTGGGCCCATCAGGACATACAAGTAAAGAGAAAAACATATAAGAAGAAATTGATAACAGCAATATGTAGCCATACATATAAATCCAAAAGGTGACAATTAAAACCTATTCTTAACTTCAAATTTAAATAACTCATTTCAATTGAATTATGTAATACCTTGCCAATTTTGTCTGCAGTCATGCTCCTTGCATGGCTTCTTTCCCACTTCGTTTAGCACTTTCACAGATCCTGCAAATCTTGCTACGAACTTCATAGCCAATTATTTTGCCAGTGTGCTCACCAATCATTGAGCAGTGTCCTTCAATTAAAATGAAAAGGAGTATAGGTAAAATTATTACTTAGACCTCTCATATAATGTGAATTGCAGAAATTACACACTGACAGCTAGTGTTACTTACCCGATAAGCTATCAAATGGGTGACCACTTCCCCTCTTCTGCCATCCAGCATCCACGCTCACCGTTAATTCTTCAGTTCTGAAAAAAATAAAAGAATGTCTTTTTTTTGGTTTAATTTTAATTATTTTATCAGGCACGTAGCATCGTTTTTGAAAGGGGGGGGGCAACCAGAGAATTTTTTTTTACTTACCTGGAAAAATTGAAAAGTTGACAAGCAATAAAAAAATTAAAAGTTGATAAAACTCCAAAATCCTAATTCGTGGGGGTGGTGGTGGCCAACTTTTTCATAAGTCCCTTACTTTCACTTGCTATTTTTAGCTCTACTGGTCAGAGACCAGAAGAGCTTATGCGATAGTAATGCGTCCGTCTGTCTGTCTGTAAACAATTTTTCAAAATGCTACTCTTCCTACAGTTTTGGTCCGATTTCAATATAACTTGGCACACAAGTAGACTACACTAAGATACATAATTCTGTGCATTGGTTTTTGATTTCTATGAACGGTGTTGCCATGATTACTAAAAATAGAAATTTCTGTGAAATTCTTTCAAAATGCTATTTCTCCTACAGTTTTGGTTTGATCTCAATATAGCTTAGCACACAAGTAGACTACACTAAGATACATAATTCTGTGCATCGGTTTTTGATTTCGATGAACGGTGTTGCCATGGTTACTAAAAATAGAAATTTCTGTGAAATTCTTTCAAAATGCTACTCCTCCTACAGTTTTGGTTTGATTTCAATATAGCTTAGCACACAAGTAGACTACACTAAGATACATAATTCTGTGCATCGGTTTTTGATTTCGATGAACGGTGTTGCCATGGTTACTAAAAATAGAAATTTCTGTGAAATTCTTTTAAAATGCTACTCCTTCTATAGTTTTGGTCCGATTTCAATATGACTTGGCACACAAGTACACTACACTAAGATACATAATTCTTTGCATCCTTTTTTGATTTCGATAATGGTGTTGCCATGGTTACTAAAAATAGAAATTTCTGTGAAATTCTTTTAAAATGCTACTCCTCTTACAGTTTTGGTCCGATTTCATTATAACTTGGCACACAAGTAGACTTCACTAGGATACATAATTCTATGCATCTGTTTTTGATTTCGATTAACGGTGTTGCAATGGTTACTAAAAATAGAAATTTCTGTGAAATGCTTTCAATATGCTACTCCTCCAATAACTTGGAACACAAGTAGACTATACATTTTTTTTTTTAAATACATAATTCTGTGCATCTGTTTTTATTGATGAGTGGCAAGGATCATTTTTCTATTTATTGCTGTTTTAAAGTTTCAAGTCCCAACTGCTTGTTTTCTCTTCCTTTGATTTAAGTATAAACCAGTAGAGCTACAGTCTCGACAGAGACTTCTGGTTTCCCTATATTTTCCTCATTTACTTGATATCACTATATTATGGTAAGAAGTTTGGAACCACCCTTTCAATGAACATTTTCTATAGTAAAGGTAATGTTGGGGAAAAAGTGGGGGGGGGGGGGCAGCCCGCCCCCACCTCCTTGTTGCTACGTCCCTGTTTATTTATATTGTTATATTACTCCTATTATTATAACTTCTATTATTCATACAAATTATTTTGAAATACTGATTATGATAAATGCAAAAATTAGTTTTGTGATGAAATACTGATATTGTGTCATGTAAGATCTACCATCACTTTTTTAGGTGTGTACATGTAATATATTATACAATGTACTCGCTCAACTGTAGCCTGGATTTTATCTTGTAAAACCTGATGGTTGGTGTCTTCAGCAACTTTTTCAATGGCCAGTCCTGTCTCTGTTTGTCTATTCTGGATGGTCTTTGTACTCACAGCAGGGATATTTAAAGTTGTACCATAGCTGAACATCTATACACCACATTTTCTTTGTTCGAAACTATGGTGTATTTTGAGCAAACCAACACTTTTCTGTGATCAATATATATCCCACTTGTTTTTAACTCCGCCTTCTTGCGGTCTAGTAAAGTTAAAAGTTAACATTTTTAAAATGAATATTCAACGTTGTATCGAATACAACTCAAAACAAAATTACAAAAATAAACACACACACCATTGTACACACATCTGTTCTCTCAAAATAAAATATCTTTAGTGAGATACTAATTCACATAAAGAAAAGTACAAAAATAAATTCTCTCTCTCTATCTCTCTCTCTGAAATTAACCGTTTTTTTTAAAATAGTTATTTAAAAAGAACACATACAGAAAGAGAGTTTTTCTCTCAAAGTAACAAAAAATGTCTTCCAGTAACTTTGCTTTTCATTTTCACTGAAATCATGAATGAGTATACACCTGGTTTATAGTAATACCCCAGTTAAAATCCGCCGAAATTAAAGGTACAGTGGGTGAAAATTGGACCAGGAACGTCTGTATCCATGGAGGGTGGCGGATCTGGGGAGGCAGATGCAGAAATAGTAGAAGTTGCTTCCTCTGATTTTATCTTGATGCGTTTTGGCTCTAAGACGTTCGATACCTCCATTACTATTTCATCTGATGCTCTTTTATACTGTCGAACAGATTCTATGGAACGTTGGCCCGTTCGGGCCATAATTTCTTGTTCCTCTATTCCCGCCTGATATAACGCGGTCGCACATGTACGCTTCCCGGAGTGATTGGTACAATTACCCTCCAACCCGCCTTCTTGACACATGGATTTCATCATGGTTGACAGTCTGTTGACGCCGATGCACTGCTTGCTAAATTTCCTGCCGTCTAACGCTCGTCTATAGAAGGGTGCGGTCGGATCACTGTCAAGACTAAGGATGAGGCAAACATACTCCTTATACACGTTGTACAACTCATCATCACAGAACATATGCTTGATGATTTTTGGCGAAATATTCCGCTGGTTCAGACCACCTGAAATATAATCATCAAGTAAACATTAATATGGTCTGCCGAAATACTAGTATAACATACTCATTCTAGAATCCCCCCCCATTTCCAGAAAAAAGACACTTAGTGCTATTCCTGTTTGAAACATTTTTTTTAAATAAACGATGCACATAACTCTTAATTCACACTTAACAAAAATGTATAATTCTGATGGACCTTTTTAAATATTTTTGCAGAAATTATAATCTTACCTTTGTAAGTTTTACTGATGCGCCCTTTGAAAATGATGTACGGTCTTTCATTTCCATCATCGTGAAGCTCAAACTGATCAATCGATAGGTTCCTATGTTCGTCGACACTTCTTAAACCAAATAGTTTGCAATTGTAAAAAAAGACTGAATTCAGTAATGATTTTGAAGACGAATTCCCTAAAATGTTTTTCTCCCAAAGAATTTTTTCGTCTTTTTCGGACAGGGGTTCAGCTTGTCGTTTTATGACTCCAACTCCCTGAGCAGTAAGCTCAGACATTTTCGCACTCAGCGCTCGTCGAAATCCTTGAAAATTGAGATTTTTTTCATCCAAAAAGTTTAAACTGTTTCCATTTTCTCGAAGATACCTCAGGACGCCCACGCACAACTGATACAGAGATCTTGGTGGGTACTGCGCACCATCTTTACGCCTCGACTCAAGGACAAACCTTGTCATTATGTCATTCATTTCGGTTTCATTAGTTGTTAGAGTCAATTCAGGCATGGACGCTTCAGTAATTTGTATTCTGTTTTTTCTCCATTCCTGAAATGTACTAACACTCCAGTTTGTGTTTTTCCGCGTGTTTTTGCTTTCATACGACTTTTTAATATTGTCTATTTCCTCCTCTTCGACGGGCGATGCAAAACGTTTGTTTTCTTGAATATCGTCAGGGATTATCGCATCAAATTCTTGCAGCATAGAAAACTCACCAAAATCAGCAGGTTCGACTTCATACAGTTCAACTGTTTGGGTCAGCGACAATTCGTTTAGGGATTCTTCGGCCTCAATAATATCTAGGGCTTGAGAAAGCGCAAAATCCATGCCGTCTTCCTCCATGCTGATACCCGGACTGACCATTCGAGCACGTGTCTCTTCGTGAGATACCCGTATATCTTGTTTGGTCAAGCGTGCATAAAAGTATAGTCCCCTAAATTTACTCATAACATTTCATTTGTCAAAAAATCAATGGCTATAATCTTTTATTACTTTTATTTTTTTATTTCAATACAGTACAGCTGCAGTGTATTTATTGACAACATATTACTATAAGGATATAATTTTAATCACATTAATATTTTGACACTGTTTATCTTAACGATATATTTCTCAGTCGATGTTTTGCACGCTTGATTAAGCAAAGTAACTCTAGATCTAATTTTAGAATCCACGTATACAGGTTATAGCTATGGTACAAGTGAGTTACCGTTATGTTTTTCTATTGGTTCGCTATAGATACCCATTGACATTTTGAAACACCCACTCGAGGCGTTGCCCCTCGTGACTGTTTCAAAATGTCATCGGGTATCTGTAGCAAACCAGTAGAAAAACATACGGTAACTATTACATGTAAACAGGTCATTTACTTGAGCTGGGCCAATACCAGTATGACTCATTCCTATTGAATTGTAAAAAAAAATGTTGCCGTTCAAAAATTACGCGGACTTATTGCACAGAAAAAAATATTTGAAGACAAAATCGAGCAAACTTCTTAAAATGTTGTAAATTGGTATCAATTTTGAGTGATTTTTCAGGACATATTATTAAGTCACGGAGCAGCAAAATCTTCGACGTTAAGGGCATTATAAAAAATTATTGACTTAACTTTCATTTTCTCAACATTTTAGCAAGAGTACCTGTACAGTTTGTGTTACCTTATCTACTTAACATCCAAACACCATTTCTTGTCAAGCTTAAAATCTATTAAACAAGTAAAGAATATTCTATTTTGTTTTAAAACCAAACACTGCAGATACTTATGAGATTTAGTGTGATATTGGTTACTCTGAATCACGTTCTTTACAGTCCGGATAAAGTTTTCGTCGATAATCTTCTTCCCGTCCTCCCGTATAGCATTTTTACAGAGGTTTTACGATCTAAAATTTGTGGACGAATGTCACGAAAACCCTAGTTTTTTTTTTTTTTTATACCCTAGTTTACTACATATTTTATTATGGATATTTTGGATCTATGTTGGCGATATCTCGAGCATTACACATAATTTAACAAACTGTGGTGCGCCGTCAATTCAGGAGACGTCATTTTCAGTCGTTTTCATGGGATACGCATCAAAGTAAAATCACTATATTTTTGTTAGTACTTCAAATATCACGTCAGAAATCTAAATACATAATAATAGAACAATTTAAAGATACATTTGAGAAAACTGTCGAAAAATATCGCGAATTATAGAAAATAAATGAGTTAAATTTTGGATTTCGTATGCTTTTGCTTCAGAGTTTTTGTCGTGCTCCGTACCTCTCCATCGGCGATATCTACATACCGATTATTTTAGTAGAATTTATTCAAGATACAGAAATTTTGCCAAAAATTTATTGGAATCTTTAAAATACATATTCCTGAGAAATTTCATAACTATACGACGTCTGTGAGAGTAAATAATAGCACAGTCTGCGTTATTTTTGAACGGCCCTCGTACATTTGTTTGAATGCATTGTTTTCAGCAGCAGACTGAGAGTTTACATATTACACAAACCTTTTTATACACATATTAGGCCGGTACTAAGGCCTATTTGTAGTCGGACTTACATGTACAGTAGATGTATTAGATACAAGCTACATGCTACAATGCATCAAAGCCACATTAATTGTCAGAAACTCATGAACTCTTTCTCTCTGAAAAAATATGAGATTGTTTTATTTCAACATTTTTTATTGTGTTACTTTTCATAAGGCGGGAGTGCATTGGAGTGTGTGAAATTAAAATTGGGAATGTATTGCTCGTATCTGTGTCTGTACGTCATGCATAGTATGTACACATTCACCCAACATGTAAAAATCATATTGAACGCAGATCTATATATTAGATCACATGCACGGCCAATATTCAAGTAACTTACCCAGAATCTGAATGAACAATCACATTGCATCCAGCTGTGTCGGGAACTTCACGATCGTTGAACGTGTGGGGTACATGTTCCTGTGGAACTTGCTCGGAACTAGTTTCCTCGTTGTTTATCGTGACGGAAAGATGACAATTGGACTGTGAGTGAATAATTGTGGTCGTCCCGGACGCACTTCCATCGGGATTCTAAGACCTCCGAGGTTTTGGTGTATTTGTTATTTTGTTTTGAAAATCCTTGTCGTTTCCACCGCGTCATATTCTTTCTGGCAGACGATTCTTTTTATTCGCCGCGAAATTTACGGCATGTCGCAATACCAAAGTGCATTATAGCCGATTGTTAAAAAACTCATTAAATTCTTAACCATTATTATGGTTATGTTTTATTATAAATCAACACTCTGTTTTCTTAATATTTTCTATTTATAATAAATCATGAGGTTACAGATTTTACATCGTGTTCTACGGCGACCGGTTTGTGCTATCTGTAACGTTGAGTAAACGTAATCCTTAACTATAGTTAATGATTGTAAATTATAGTTTACAAACGTGAATCTATGTTTATCAACAAAATCTATTATTAACATTTTATTACAGACAGATAAACTTAGAGTAACATTCGTAAACTATATTTAACAACCTTTAAACATAGTTTTACAGATAAAAACTATAGTTCACTCCTTGTAAACTATAGTTTACAGTCCATAAACCTAGTTTATTAACTGTGAAACTATATTTAGCTCATTTTTTGTGAATTTGGCGTGTCATATGTGTTTATATCAGGGATGAAAAAATCCTGTATTGATTGGTTGTAAATTGTTTAACGTCCCTCTCGAGAATTTTTCACTCATATGGAGACGTCACCGTATGCCGGTGAAGGGCTTCAAATTTTGACCTTTACTCGGCACGCAGGGCCATTGAGCAGTTAGGGGTCTTTATCGTGCCAACGCCTGCCGCTGACACGGGGCCTCGGTATTTAAGGTCTCATCCGAAGGACCCGCAACTTTCACTTCAAAGTGCCGACCGCATGGCGAAGGAACAGTTGCTACCCATTTTAACGACTAGGTCAGTCGCGGCCGAGATACGAACTCACGACCTCCCGATCACGGAGCGAGCGCTCTACCGACTGAGCTATCGTGAACGGTAATCGTGTATTGTATAACAAATAAATAATAAAGAGTAATTATAGAAGAGGTATAATAAAGAACAATATAAGGTGAGCAAGTTATCCAAAACTTACTTTGTATAACAAAATACCGGTAAGACATATAATCAACTATTCTTTAACAATCGTATTATTAGACCAATATGTTGGATTTCTTTACTAGGACACCTTTCAAAGTAGGGTAATAAAATTACTCAATGTTTTCTTCTTCTTGCTTGATCTCCCCCGACTCAGGGTTAAATTATTGGGTCAGCAGGTAGGTGGGAAAATATTTATTTAAACATATTTGTAGACGGGATAAAAGAAACGAAGAAAAAAAATATCCTGTCCTGCAATGAATTGATTGAATATTTTTTCGTGCCGATTTGGCAATTTTCAGCCATGTTTCGGTGGACTATTAGTTTAGATAATCGATTTTTGAAAGCACAAACAATTTTTAAAGATTGCTTAATACAGAGTTTTCAAGAACTAATTCTCTATTCAGATGCATTTCGTTTAAAAAAATAATCTATACTGCATTCATTTTGATTTGTATCTGAAAATTTTTTTTAATTACCCGTATCACTATCATTTTTCGAGCATACCGGTGAAGCGAAAGGAAATACGCGTCAAGTAGGTCCACCAGACAAATATGTTGAATCTCGTAAATATTGCGTAATATTTTATTTTACAGAGTTTTGTTAATCTGACATTAAATCTATTCGTTAACATTGATACATTATTAATACTAAAATATTTTAAAGTCGATGAAAAAATAACCTCTCAAAACGACTTGATCTTATTTTTTGTTCGTCATTTTACACGGTGGAAATTATTGTTGAACTTATATTTATTAGATAAAAAATATGCAATTAAATATCAACAATAGGGAAATTGTAAAAATATATTAATATTAGAAAAAAGACATTATTGAGATATATGTTGTTTCTATTTAAATTTTCTAGTAAATGAGAAAATAAATGTTTATAATCATGCTCCTTTTTATCAAAAGCGTTACGGATTCTTATTCTGTAAAACCTGTCGCTTTTTCTTTTGCTTTCCACCATTGAATGCAGTACTGTTAATGAAGTCAAGAAGGATCTGAATTGCACTCATTTTATGACGAAAATTTAAAGTCTGCATTTAGTTTTACACACTCTATACAAAGGAAATACGCGATTCCTTCTTAAAACATGTACATGTTTCCTGTAATTATACCTTTTTATTTGCGCCTTCGGCCTTCACAGGATTTGATCACGTGACCGACCCACTTCAATCCCCACTGAAGTTTAAAAACTTGTTATTTATCTCTTAAATATTTGTGCTAAAAAATTGTTAAAGTGTATGAGCTGATAAAAAAAAAACTTACCGACAGATTTCTGGAGCATTCACTTGAAGAAAACAAAGACCATGCGTAATTTCGCCACCTTAACTTTTGTCTGCTTCCTGATTTCAGTGAATGTCATCAAACACGGTAAGCAAGATTACAGTTTTTAAGCAATTAACATTTGTAATAAAAAATAATCAATGAAGAATCGTTTTTGGGAGGGACGTGGGGAAGGTACATGTATCCTGTTGAAAGAGGGGCAATTTATGTGAAAGAAACTAACAAAAAAAAAGACATTACTGTGCAAACACGAATATCTTACTTCGGGGTTTGGGAGTTCTAATAAAAAAAATACGGATATAACAAACCATATGCAAGCTCAAAAGTCCATTTAACAATGCAAAATTGGAACAGAGCTAGAACAGACCTACAAAACATCAGAGGTCGGTTCAGGTGCCATGGAGGAGTGAGCATCCCCTGCAGACCGGTCACACCCGCCGTGTGCTCCTTGTCAAGATCGTGGAAAACTTTCTTACACTGAACAATTGTTTTACTTTATAGTCTTAACATCAGCATAATGCATGACTTCACTTTGCTTCGACCTTTACTAGACGGTTGGGGACCCGCCTTTAATAAATATTCTCTACATCTACAACAAAAATTGTGATGTTGTAATTTGTTTTCACTGTCACTCGGTAAATTCAAATTTAAAACCTGACATATATAGTAAAATGTAAGGTAGCAAAAAGGTAGGAGCAAGCTTTACCCCACAAGTTTCAGTCCGACAGTGCAGTATTTTGTAAACGCAACTCCTCATAAACTGCTGCACAGAATTTTGTCAAAATTTGCTGATATTTAGGACACAATGTGTAGATATGCATATTACCAGGAAATCCCGATTCCTTTATTTTTTCCGGGAATTTCCGCACTTTAAAACTTATTAGGTTTTTGGCCATATCTTGGGAATATCTTGACTATAGAGATGAACAATTCCTCTTGAACCGTTGAACACAATTTCGTCAATCTTTGCAGATATTTAGGACACAATGTGTAGATGTGCATATTACCAGGAAATTCTGATTCCTATATTTTTCCGGGAATTTCCGCACTTTTTAACGTAGATTTTTTGGCCATATCTTGAATATAGAGATGAACAGTTTGTCATCGCAACTCCTCTTAAACCGCTGCATACAATTTCATCAAACTTTGCAGATATTTAGGAAACAATGTGTAGATGTGCATATGACCAGGAAATTCCAATTCCTTTACTTTTTCCGGGAATTTCCGCACTTTAAACCTAAGGTTTAAGCCATATCTTGACTATAGAGATGGCAGTTTGTCAGCGCAACTCCTCTTAAACCGCTGCACATAATTTCTTCAAACTTTTCAGATATTTAGGAAACAATGTGTAGATGTGCATATTACCAGGAAATTTTCATTCCTTTATTTTTCGGAAAATTTCAGCTCTTCGACTTTTTGGGGAGCGTGGGGTATGTGAGCCTGCTCACTTTTTCTTTCATTATAATGTTTAATGTTAGAAGGAAATGACAATATGCACGCATGAATTTTTAGCTCTTCTGGACAGAGACCAGAAGAGCTTGCGCGATAGTAAGGTGTCCGTCTAGCTGTCTGTCCGTCTGCCTGAAAACAATTTTTCAAAATACTACTCCTCCTACATTTTTGCTGCCTGATGAAAAGTTTTAAATCCAAGTGCTACTTTTCCTTTGTTATACGTACAGACCAGTAGAGCTGCAGTCTCATTAGAAACTTCCGTTAACCTTACTGCTGCAGGAATAACTCAGTTATGTCTCTTATTTGTTAAGCTGAGGCGCAAATCTGCAGCCAACTAACGCCTTGTGTGTTCGCCTTAACCACTGCACTAGCAGGAGCTGGCAAAGACATAAGCAAATTATGCAGGTAGATGATTTTATTTTTAAAATAATTAAATAAACAAGACGTTTTTGTGAAACACTGATGCACCTGTATGGCACTTATGGCGAGGGTTAAATTTTCTCAAATGCATCATGTCAATACACAAAGGTCAACGTCCCAGTTTATGTCACATGATCAAAATTATCTGTACCAATAGAAAAGTCTTGTCATAATGAAAACTCGTGTCTTTTAAAAGCCTTTACAGCGCAATAGCTATGGGTTAGGTTAAAGTTGACAACTTACAGACAGACACGCAGGACAAAAACAATACACCCCGATCCTGGGCATAGAAATATTTCAAGATGTTTAAGTTTCAACTTAAGGAATGATGATGCGAATAATAAATTGGACTGGAATATATGTGCGATTTTTTTTCTTTGCTTTCAAATGATGCGAAAATAAATGTCTATACAGTATAAAAAAAACTGTAAAGTTTGTTTATGCTTTAAACATCTTCCCTTCTTCAACAATCGTAGTAAATCTAAACATGACTTGTCACTTGAGATACAAAAACTTTAAAATTTTAATAAAAAATGTGACTTGTTAAACTTATTCAGTTTACTTATAATATTTAAACATGGATAAAATAATCGTACCAGTGCTACAAAAGGGAAGGGTATATTGTTTTACCCTTGTGCGTCTGTTTGTGTCAATGTGTCTAAAACAAATTTTCTTCGCAATTTTCTCAGCAATAATTACTCATTGCAAATTCTTAGCATCAGAAATTTTAGCATCCTTTGTCATATGCTGTTTTCTTTACGACTCTGATGTCGAATTTATGTTTATTAGTGCGTATGTCCGTACCAAATTTCAGTCGCAGCTTTGAAATGTGTCAGTATAATATTAAATACTCCTTTTGCTCTGCCTTAACAAAACTTTAATTCCGATAAAAAAATCTTATGCATGTATGTAGTTGTTTTATAATGGATTTGTTTCTTTAATGCAGTGCCTATAATACTTACGTGAACTGTTTAAATAAGGCTGCCTCTGGCTGTAGTGTGGATATCAGCGACATTATGCAAACCGCCAAAAACTCCTTGTCGCAGTACGGATGTAAGTAATGAAAAGCTATTTCTTAATAATATACCCCCATCCTTTCCGTTACATTTGATGGAACTTTAATGTTGCTTCAAAGACGTGTAAAACTCAGATTCATTAAATAATTATGAAAATAATTGTTAATAAAGAAAAAATGTAAACATATTTAAGGGTAAATTGTATGAATCCGACTAATAAAATAAATTTATTTCATAGTAATGTAAAAAGATGTTTTATGTTTGCATTATTCCTGTAAATACTCTACTGATTGACAGGATACATGTATATATGTGATTATTGTTATCCAAAAACAGTATATAAACCATTAATGATATTTCTGTTATTCTACTTTTTACCAGGTTCCTCTTCCGGCGGAGATTCCATTCCAGACACTATTTCCAGTTCCACTCCAGGTAGTAGTTCCAGTTCCACTCCAGGTAGTAGTTCCAGTTCCAATCCAGGCAGTAGTTCCACTCCAGGCGGCAGTTCCAGTTCCGTGGTTCCATGATGACGCTCCTCAGCTGGCTGTCTCTAACACTCGGAGTTTTTCTTCATCAACTCTTTTGAAAAAATATGTCCAAGCATTTGAAAAAAAAACGTATTAAAGATCACAACAAACATAATTTTTCCGCGTTTCTTTGGATTCAGTAAAATTTACTGTTTCAATTTATTTAAAACACAAACAAAATAATTTCTTTTTTTTTCAATGATCTTTCACTTAAACATGATTGTTGTTCATCTTTAATGATTATATTTATCTAATTTTTTCTCAATATATACTGTAATTGTAGTCACTAAAAATATCTTTCTAGAAAATAAAATATTCTATTATTATTATATGTCTTCTCCTTTATCCTTTATTGTGCAAAGGCAAAAATTTAATCTTTTTCATTTAAATTGTATCGGCGATCATGTTGATCTAAGACCTGTTTACCCGTATTGTTGTCAATTTTATTTAGACTTGTCAGTAAGATTTGGCATTTGTCAGTCAGACTTAACCTTACATTGGTTTAACTAGAAAACAAATACATTTTCTGATTACCATTCATTTCAAACATTTTTAAAACCACCGTTTATCACTTATTTGATTGTGTTAAACTTCCTCTCATGAATTATTAACTTGTATGGAGACGACACCACTTGCCGGTGTAGAGCTGCAGAGAGCTAAATTCACGAAGTGCATATACTGGCCTATTTGTTGAGGAAAATTGAACTGAATTTAAGAGGGAAAATTATAATAAAAATATTACCCCTAGGTATCGAACTTAAAAAGTGTATATCGATTTTTATATATTATGACATAATATTTGTACAGTAAACGTCGAAACACGTGCACTCTGCTCCTTTTTATCAAAATGCATCATTTTCCGTCTTCTTTTTAATTTTTTGCTTTAGCCACACCCTTTGAACAAAATAAAATTTTTGCCATTAAAATAAAGAATTAAAAAAGGAATTCTTAGAGCATATTTTCATTTTGTTCAAGAGGTGTGGCCACATCGAAACTATTACTTTTTCTTTAGCGTCAAGCCTCGCAGTGCCGACGACCATAAAGAAATTATGTGGTTTATCCAAATGAAGCTGATTTATTGCTTATGTATTGTTTAAAAAGTTTATAAATTCGAATACCATTCCTAAGAATATTATATTTTAGAATATTATTTCAAATAAACACGAAAATCTGTCATTAAATTTGACGGCATGCAGTAATGCCATTTGAAACGTTACAGGTCTACAACTTGTACCGACTTTCAGTTTATTACTGTATATGAATAATCGGTCATGACCGCATTAACTGCAATAATTATGAAATGTTTATAAATAAAAGCTTTATAAATTATGAGCATCATTAGAGGTGTGAGTAGGGTGTGTTTGTTTGTGTGTTTTGATATCGATCTCGTTGTCGCCATGGTCACTATGTAATCAAAGGGGAACAACTCAAAAAAAACATGATGATCGATTGATTGATTGTATGTTGTTTAACGTCCCTCTCGAGAATATTTCACTCATATGGAGACGCCACCACTTGCCGGTGGAGGGCTACAAATTTTGTCCTATGCTTGGTACTTGGGGCCTTTGAGAAGTGAGGGATCGTTTTCGTGCCAGCGCCTACTGGGGCCTCGGTTTATACGGTCTCATCCGAAGGACTAGTCTCCACGTTTCACAGTGGTATTGAACCCGCGACGTAAGGATTGAACTCCTTACTTTGCGACTCTAGAGCAGACGCTCTAACCCCTGCGCCAAGCGGGCGACACATGATGATCGAACATTTTATTGAATTCGGTAAAAGTTTTTGTTAATTCAATCCTGAGTGATCAAATGACCTAAAAAATTCATATTACAACGGATGCAACTACCAGAAGGTGTGTATCAATTTTAATTGCGTGGACCCTGAGGTCCACGCAGTAAATATATAAGCGAGGTTAAACCGGATCCCATGAGCAAACGACAGGCTACGCATGCGCGAGATGCTAATGAGTTCGCCCCCTTAGGCAACTAGCCCGTAGAATAATTCGCCCTATTCGAATTAGAATATGTCATTCATTGGCAAATCGCGCTTTTGAATCAGCATATCGTATTTATATATTCACTGGTGGATCCAACTTTCTCTCTTATACATATGCTTTTATATACAAACTAAACATTGATTCTATTGCACAAGCATTTTAAAAAGTAGGAAGAACTTGCATTATAGATACATGTAACTTAACTTGAATAAAAAAAACGTCATTTAACGACTAGTTCTAGCTTTTAAAAGATGGAACAAAATTTTACTGACATTTGTTTTGTGCACCAAGACTCGCAAAAAATTTGATATTTCAGCAACCCAAAATGAAATATTATTTGATAGAGGTCTGTAGCAACGGTTTTTAATTGTGGGGAGGGGGGTGCTCCGACAAATAATCTGCTTATAACAGAGCTGTGCTATACGTTTACCATCAGATCTATTTTTCCAAGGATAGATTTCTTCCATATAAATCCATAACAGGTGTCAAGTACCAGCCATTATAAGTTACTTGTATCAAAATAGCCGCCCGATTTTTAAACTGACAAAACTAAAGGCTAATCGGAGATAAAATTTAACACTTTTGCTTTGAGAATACAATCAGTCATAAGTAGGCAGATCATTGTAGAAAATATGAACCTACATGAATATTTACTACACCTAGAAATTTTCTTAATTTGAATTTCGGTTAGAAACACATGCCTATGGTCCACTTATTGCAGTCCTTTTTTAAAGGACAGCAACTTGTTGTGATTGTTTATCCACATTATAAACATATTCAATATCGTACAGTTTCGATGTCAAATGACCTCTGTATCAACAAACATCAGACACATTATATAACAATCCCTTATAATAATCACTTGCTATAAAATTGCCATTGTATTTAAAAAGAAACAAATATTCATATATAAATAAAAATTCTTAGATACTAGGCATCACAATGCATGTCACACGCATTCAACAAGGAAAATTTGAATTAAAAATTATCAATATTGAAATGAATATCGATGTTACAAGTGCTATCGTACGTTTTGTTATCGTAAATTAAACCAAAGCATAAATGAAAAACTTACTATATAGTTAGGCTATCTGACATATCTAACAGTGACATGGATTTTACATGGCATGGATGACTTAGTCCAGTGACTGCTTAGTTTGCCTGAATAAAAAAAAAACAAAGGGAGCCTACTTGAATTTTCTGTTTTATTTAATATTATCTAATCAGCCTTTTTTTCAGCCAATGTTTTAATTATTACAAAATAGTACTTGTAACATCGAACCGATATGATGATGTTCATTATTGCATTGATAGAGATATTAAAAAAAAAAAAAAAAAAAAAAAAAAAAAAAAAAAAACACACACACACACAATCGCATTTTTACATAGTTCTACTGTATAGGTGTATGTATAAACTTAAAATAATGTTATCTTTAATCTAGGAAAAGGCCATAATTCATCATTTTCATTTTAGGGAGGCATCAACTCAAACGAGCAAACTTCCCTGACAAGCAGATAAAGAAATGAAAATATAAATGTTATGCTATGTTATACATACACTACGTTCAACATGTATATACCTCCTTCCCTGGATCCTTTGGCCAGAGTATATATAGTAATCAAATGTCATTCCTAATGTTAACCGTTTTCAAAAAAAAATTCAGAACACTTTCCTATTTCATCCAAGAGAGTTTGGGTATGACCAGAACAAGAGGCCCATGGGCCACATCGCTCACCTGAGCACATCGTCTAAGAAAAAGCACAAATCGATTCAGCATTGAAAAGTTTACTTGGCTGGGGAGTGGGAATTTTTAAACTAATTAAGGATGCCTACATATCAATAAAGCAAATAACTTTGCTGTTCTTTTGAAGATTTTCTTGCCTATATATTACTTTGTAAAAATTTTTATCCTCAATCCAGGAGGGGGTTGTCATGATTTGAACAAATCTGAATTTACACGACATGAAGATGCTTACATGTCAATATGACTAAATATAGCATTTATGTTATTGAGAAGAATTTTTCCCCCTAAATATTCCTTTGTAAAACTTTGACCCAAGTTGTGGCTTTAACCTACCCCCGGGGGTCATAAACCTTAGATATTAATGTAGATTATAAAGTAAACAGTCCATTTCTGTCAAAATATTTGTATCTGATAAGTTTGAAATTGAAGAATTAAAGCAGTAGGCTAGAACCAAAATTTCAAAAATTTCTATTTCAGAATGCCTGGTGATGGGCCATAAAATTTCCCCTGTTTATTATGCAACAAACGCACAAAACCACACGAAAGAAGAAAGATAACAAAATCGGAAAATAGCTTCCTTCAGAAAAACTTTTTAATCATTGTCTGTGATAAACAAATGAAGACATAAGTATTATGCTTCCGTAAAACAAAAAGTTCATGAGGTTCCGAAATCTAATGGAAAAAGTGACGATTACTGTCCAATACCCAGTGTTGTCTCAAGTCCACCATCTGTATCTCTGTCAATTCTGTCCACCCCTAAAACCCATGCACAATGCTTTTTGTGCGAGCGACCAGGACCAAAGCTCATGGTTGTACCATAAAATGCAAGGTTTAATGTCTTTCTGAACTATGAGGTAATTGTACCTGCTGGCAGTCGATGTTGTCCCAATCACATGCAAGATGGCGATTTTAAGTCCGATGTATTGCCACGCATAAAAGCAACCAGTGAGTCGTTTCTTAGCAGAACTGCTATTACTGACCTCATTAAACGGTTGCGTGCTACAGCGCAGCATAACAAAAATTGCAGAATCGATTTCGACAATTCCTCCAATCTAACAGATAATATGATTACTTGACACTGACGGGAATAAGCAGAGATGCATTTGATGAATTGTGCGAGTTTTTGAAATATGTTAGAAACACCCCTGTTCGCTTTACTCACACATCCTTATGATTCTTTATATTTAAGATGAAATCCGGACTTTCCAATACAGTACTTTCTACCATTTTTAACATCTCTGAATGCAGTTTGCGCCGAA